CATTAAAAAGACATGAATTGTTGATTGTTTGAAATGGCAACAACTAATTTCGTATACAAGAAAAAAAAAAAAGGTTTTCTAGAAAAAGTCATGGTATATTTTGCGGCTCTAAACAACTTTTACTTGGTCGGACTCTGGGCAAAACGGCTCTTTGGATATGAAAGGTTGCAGACCCCTGCAGTACAGGGTGATAAATAAAAAACTTAAATTTGCAAAAACACAGTTGCTATTTAGCTGTGAAATTGCATTCTTTTATTTCAATAAAATGTCATACCTGATGACAAATGGACCTCCTGACATCAGATTAACATAGAAATGTCCTTCAGGTGTGTCAGCAGTCAAGACAAAAAGGCAGAAGCCAGCAGGTTCACATATTGCAAAAAAGTACACAATTCATAAAACAAGAATGTAGAGAAAAAAAAATTTAGCTTTACAGCTGAGGCGAAAATGTTATATAAAATTTAAAAAACTTCACTTATATAGAAAACTTTGATAAAATTAGTTTAAATGTGAAACATAAATGGGTCAATGGAAAAGTTCATAAAAAGTGCATCCCTGACTGTTTAAGTATGGGGGAAAAAAGGCTAATTATTTATGGATTAAAAACTGTTCATATAATGGCATGGATGTAAACTAACAGAGGCTATTGGAAGTGGCGATTAAATAAATGTTTACACAGATCTCTGGGTTCCTGTTCAGGACAGAAACATGGTGCTGGGAAAACATGGCTTCTTTGTGAACCCCTCCGATTCTGTGGCTGTCATTGGTGCCAACATTACCTCCATCCCGTACTTTAAAAAGACTGGTGTCAAAGGCCTGGCCCGCAGCATGCCCACCAGTGGAGCCTTGGACAAGTAAAAAAAAAATAAAAATAAAAGTCTGATATAAATCTTCATCCTGATATGTTATGGATCCATTTTTGATGACATGTTGCATTTTGTGTTCCATGTTTTATCCAGTGTAGCCAAAGCTCTGAAGATGCAGCTGTTTGAGACTCCAACAGGGTGGAAGTTCTTTGGTAATCTAATGGATGCTGGTAAACTCTCACTGTGTGGAGAGGAGAGCTTTGGCACTGGTAAGAGCAAGGCTGCTACTCCTAAAACAGAAGATGGGAAGCCCCTTTCCCCAACCATTTACATCCCGTCTCCGTTTCCACGCAGGTTCGGATCATATCCGTGAGAAGGATGGCCTGTGGGCCGTGCTGGCCTGGTTGTCCATCTTGGCCACCAGAAAACAAAGCGTGGAAGAGATCATGAAGGATCACTGGCAGAAATTTGGCAGGAACTTTTTCACAAGGTCAGAAATGATAATCTTGAGAACTAACAGCTGTAAATCTATGAAGGGAAGTTTTTCTTAGCTTGATCTATTGCACCATCTGGTGGTAAAATTGGGAACTACAACATTAAGACAATTGATACTCTCAAGGTTCTGGTTATACTCCTGCAGCAGAGTGTTGCAGTGCGCTTGCAGATATTTTTGATTTATGCCCAATATTTAAGCGTGAAGCTATGTTATTCCACGCCACAACGCAAGATGGACAATCACGAACTAGCTGTGGGTTTAGATATGACCGAGGCGGTGAGGAAGTGGGGGCAAGTTTTTACGACAACTGAGGGACACGAGGGCGAAAAAGAGCAGGGATCCAGGTGGAAAAAGGGTCTCAGCGTTCTCGCACACCTCACTCTTCTAGCTGGTCCAAATTCACAAGACTTCTCCCAGAATGGTGGTCATACAAACAAAACAAGCCGGTCAGGGAATACTCATAGAGTTGAGCGGATGTATATTTGACCAATCAGATGCCTCCTGTCTGGGGCACTGTCTGCGATCACCTACAATGTGGAAGAGGTGCACCAGTGTGTCTGCGGTGGAGGCACATATGCTTTCACTGCTACACACACGCAGACGACCTGGTTTGGAAGTATACATCAGCCTTTAGTGTTAGATTTATGGGTACATCTGCTCCCTGCTTTTAAAGAAGTGACCAATTTCCATCCACGTCTCCTTTTCCTGTAAGAAATGAAAGCATTATGATGACTATCATCAGCTGTTCTACTTTGTTTCTGTATCAACGGCTTCCAATTTTACATTCAGGTACGACTATGAGGAGGTTGATTCAGATTCTGCAAACAAAATGATGAAGGATCTGGAGACGCAAATGTCCGACCCGTCCTTTGTTGGGAAGAAGTTCTCATCGGGTGACAAGACGTATGAGGTGGCTGTTGCTGATAACTTTGCCTACACAGACCCAGTGGACGGAAGTGTGTCCAAAAACCAGGTTAGGAAAACTCCAAACTGCTTTTCATCTTCGTGCTGTTCTTATAGGTCCTTTCTAAAATATTCAATTTTCCTAATGTTGTCTCGTCTGAGCCATGATTCAGTTGGTGGAGAAATGGAAGGTAGAGTTTTTTGGGGGTTTTTTTTTAGTTTATTTTACAAAGAAAGAAACGGTTCATGTTTTTCATAAAATTGTGAAATGCACTTTTATGCACTGCTGTTTACTCAACACTTTCTGAACATCTTTTCTAAGTTGTTGTCACACATAATCAGCTAGATTTACAACACTTTCATTGGACCGCTTTGAGACATGAATGATCTTTGATCGGATTCACTGATGGTATGTTTAGAGTAATTAAATTGTTTGAAGGTGAATCTCAATCCCTGTTAAGTGTTTTGCCGCCCTCAATAGATTTTCTACCAGGATTGTTCTCCATTAAACTCCCACCCACTTACCCGATCCCTTATTCTGGCCTAATGCAGCCCATGTAGTGTATGTAATGTTTTTAGGTTGATGTCGACATTTTTATTATGCCCAAAATGTAAAAAAAAATTTTAACGAGAGAAAATGTAAAGATCCTAATTTTAATGGCATGTCTTACAGCCATCTTAAAAAAAAAAAAAAAAAAAAGATTACTTTTAATTCTCCTACATAAATGTATCATATATGGGATGTGAGATAAATAGCTGTCCTGTTGGCTGCATCTCCTACCTGAGCTCTAGTTTATTGCAGTTCCCCCACAGTTATCTTCCTTTCATTAGCTGCTTTGCTTGTGCAGCATGTTAATTTAAAAGAAAAGAAAAGAAGAAACCTTCTCTTTTTTACCAGCAGGTGTAAGAGTGGAAAAATGACAGGAAAATGAAAGCATGCAGGCGCATTTAATCGCAAAAAAATAAAGATGAGGATAAAACGCTGTACTGTAAGGGCAATATTACCCCATAAAGAAACAATCCTGTACACTTATTGTAATTAGCATACTTTTACACAAATCTAATTTCAATTAAAAAAAACAGTTTATTGATAATTGAAAGTCTGTGAAAAAAAAAATAAATACTAGCAGGGATTTTGTTGGGAGCAGGGAAGGTCAGAATGTCTAACAGCAGCTTGCATGCAGGCAGCGATCTGTCTCCTGTTCTTCAGCTGCATGAGATAGAAGACATCATCCAGAAGACATAATATTATTTTAACTAGAATCCCCACGTCTCCCTCCATGGGGGTGGAGGCTCTTGTGTTGATAAGGTTGCAATTGTGTCATTCTTTGCATTGATGGATGAGAGACTGGATGGCACCCTGGGGGATATTTTGAAGCCTGGGATATTATTTTAGGCCCAAACTCGGCTTTATCCCTGCCCGGTTTGCTTTGATTTGATGCTCTTTGTTTATTTTCTTTTCCTTCACATCTGTTTGTTGTTTTTCTATCATATGTTCCAGTAAAATGCAGTAAAGTTTATAGTTCTGGTATTTATGAAGTTCTTTAACCTTCTGTAACCTCAATATTTTCTATATTAATGGTTCTTTTATTGTTTAGAAATAAAATATTGGCCTGATGATTGATTAAATCATTATTCCAGTGTTGGAATCCCACCTGCATGTGGTTTCCATTCAGCATCTACTTTCATTTATCTTCTCTGGCTTTATCCTCTCAGGGCCTCCGGATCATCTTCTCTGACGGTTCCAGGATCATTTTCCGTCTCAGTGGCACAGGCAGCGCCGGGGCAACCGTCAGGCTGTACATAGACAGCTACGAGAACGATGCCCAGAAAATCTTCCAGGATCCACAGGTCAGGACACCAAGCAGTGATCTCGGCTGAAAAGAAAACGATGATAAATAGGTCCCGGAGAAATCAAAACATCCTTCAGAATGTTATCATTGAGTAATGTGCAGGAAAAAGCATATTAGTATAGTTTGTCATGGCTTTCTCCACCCAGAAGTGGACTCCTATGTAGCCATGGTCTCTGGCTGATGATGATGATGGAGATGTTTGGCAGAGCTCTGGGTTCTGACAGCTTATCAGGGCCTGTAGGCAGAGAGAGAAACAGCTCAGCATGGCTGCGAAAAAAAAGAGTAAAGAGCACATGTTTCATCTGACACTTTATAAAGCAGTTCTGACTGGTGTGGACAGGGAGGTGATGCGGTACAAGAAAGAAAAGAAGGGAAAAACTGTTCCTCTGGTTCTTCACTTTCCCTTTGAGCTTACGGAGCATGGCTAAAGCGTTAAGCAGGAACATACTGCTGCTGATTCTCAAACTTGACAGGAAAATATCACTTTGGGGAATAATCCAGCTGGCTACAGCTGGGTAGATTTGATTTGCAGACTCTGAAGAAAAAGGAGGGAAATGTTTATTAAAAAAAAGAAAAATGTATGATTTCTTTTTTTTTTTCCCACTGCTGGGTAATTTACAATGACTTCACAGATAAATACGACCGTTTATCTAAAGTGTAACGTTTTCAAAATTCTCTGTGTAATGAGTTGAGTTGCTTTTCAAGTTTTCTTCCATCTTCATGGTGATTTTAAAAATATTTTCTAGGTCTTATTAACTTTGTAAAATATTTGCTTCCAGATTTTAGTTCCTTTCCTATTATTCAAAGTTGACTCCATCACCTCCTTTATCTGTCTTTTCATTTACCCATTAATCTCTCCATTTATCCGTTAACCATCTATCAGTTCCTCCATTTTTACACCTGTTTAAATGTCCACCTGTCCATTTATAAACCTGTACATCCATCCCTCTATCCATGTGTCCATCCCTCCATTTATCCCTCTTGTTATTCTATCATTCCATCCATCATTAATTTATAGATAATCAGTCTGTTGATTTCATCTCATTCTCTCCCTGTTCTTCTTTCTAAACATTAGTTTATCCTTTAATATGTCAATTTATAGCACCAGCCACACATCCATCCATTCAGGAGTTTTTTTCCAGGTTAATGATGCAATACTCTATATAAACTTTTATCTAATATTTTGATTAAAATCTGGATCTTTAAGTCTCAAAGTCAGGAAACAGTTGGAACTAGAGTTAAATATAAAAAACCCGAGTTTCTTGTTCATAAATTGTCCATGATAATACAGCGGCTCATATATTTGAACCAAGTACTGTCAGTACTACTACAAGTACTACTATATAATCTATACATATGTTAATCTGTGGAAGTCATGCAACTGTCCATTTTTGTTTTATTCTTGTGGAAGATTCTTATCTAAAAAAAAAAAAAAAAGAAAACAGTAGTCACCAGCCTCCTGCATTAGCGGGATATCCAAAGTTCATGTTTTGCCCAATGTTAGCTATGTTAAAATGTTCTATTATCATTATTTACTCAGATACTAACTTCTTAGATTTCTCCACCTGTTGTTGCTGAGGGTCTGTTGAGGAAAAAAGAAACGGGAAATTATCTGAGGTTTTTTCCACAGAGGAGGTTTTGTTAAAAGCGGTGATGCTGCAGCATCTCTCTAAACTTCAAAACATCTATTTTGAAAGCTATTTAAAGAACAGTGCTGTACGGAATCTTAGTTTATTACATTACAAGAGTCTGAATGCTGGGTAAATTTTGTTTATAAACTGCAGAGTAGTTGGTCCATTAGTCAATTTGTCCAGCTTGTTTGCTCTCAGCTGATAACTTATTTCTTTTATTTATGCTGCATTATTTTATAAAAATTGAAGGATATGAAATCAATACCCGTTATAAATTTGCGCACAATAATCCTAATACTTGATCATATCTCTGTATTATTGGAACACTGTTTTTATAAGATCCCTTTGTTTCAAGCATCAACATGACAAATATAAGAAACAAAGGTTAACATAAATGTTAAAACAAAGATTAAAGAAACAGATTCCTAAAATGAGCGACGTTGAGCATTATTGTAATGCAACAAATAAATAATAGTGAACTTATCCGTTGAAGTAGCATAAAAAAACAGCCGCATAGTTTTTTGGGGTTTTTTTTTTAATGCTGTAATTGCTTTTAAGAGCATGAAACGGCCACTAGATGGCACTACCTCCCACTGTTTGTAAGATGTAGTGTTATATTGGTGAGCAATATTTTTTTTTCCATTTGTTTTGTGTAACTCTATACAGTTGGACCTTTTTAATTATGAAACACAACTTTGCCTTGTCAATACTCTGATGCTGTTCAGACATTTTGTTTTATTTAATAACTATTAAAGTTTCTATCCGAAAGAAGTCTGTTCCATTAAAATCCATTCTTGTTTTATTCTTATCCAGGTGATGCTGGCCCCTCTGGTGGACATCGCCCTGAAGGTCTCCCAGCTCCACGAAAGGACCGGACGCACCGGCCCCACTGTTATCACATGATTCAGCAACATAAATGCCTCCACCCTTTGTAGGGGGGTTAAGCTGCCCCCAGAATGCTGTCATAGCCTTTGTAAAGCTGGAGTTGGATTAGGAAAAAAAAGGGAAACACAGGATCAAAAGACAAATATCCACAAGTTGCTCTGACTTATTCACTGCCTTCTTTTTGTACTAAACCAGATTGATGTATCGGGCTGTTTATAAAGAGGTACTGTTATCTGTCTTGACACATTTCACTCAACTGCCTGACATAGAGAGTTGCAGGAACAGTTTGGGAAATAGTGCATTTTTACCACCCTGTTAGCATATGTTCTCCTTTGTGATTTCACATAAAAACAGTGCTGAACTAGAGCTTGTGTCGTTTCTGGAAACCTTTTTTGTTCCATGAAATATTTATGTCTGTCAATCGTCAAGCATAAAAAGGACAGAGCTGCATAACTGAGCATAAATCGGCTATTCTGGGCAGCCTTATCCCCCTTTTCTTCACTTTTCCTCGTGAGGATGTCGGATCTTCCTTTTTCTGTGTTTATCCATCGCCTTTAAACCTGAGCCACAGTTGTAGTATTAAGAATTACTGAACCGACTATGAATAAAAGAGCCTTGTGGAAATGAACAGTGGTCAGATTTATTTATTTTAATCTGTAGTTAAAAAATTCAAAAGGTCACTATTCCATTTTGGTAAATTAAAATATGATCAACAAGGTTATCTGAATAATAAGTTCATAAAACATGCAGAGAATTTATTTCATTATAGAATAATGCATTGAACAATTTGAGGGAAAAAAAGGTGTTTACCAGATGTGAAAGTTAAAGCAACCCTGTGCAACCTTTAGCCACTAGGGGCAATAGACCTGTAACATCAGGGTCTACCTGCTTCAGAGATGAGAAAATGAAAACATCATCTCTGATCAATGCTTTAACACACATATTGCTTACAATGCGACCTGTCTAACTAAGGAGTACCAATATGGCAGTCTGTGGCTTCACCTCCACCCAGTATTACCAATGGGCAATCCAGCGAATAAATAGAGATCAGTGCTACCTCCTCTAAAACAATAAACCAGGCTTAACTGGCAGCACTGCCCTGTATAAACTGCCTCACTCTTTGGGCCCGTGGATTGAGAAGTCATGGAGTTACTAGTAAAGATGTGGCCACATCAGCCCTCTAGATTAAATCCTACATCAGAGAACCAGCTAAGTTCCCAGAGCATTGATATGCAGTAAGAACTGTATATTCAGCTAGAAAATTAAAACAAGCTGATGTTTTGGTAAAGAGTTAAAATAGTGCTGCTTAAAGTGGATATTATATAATTAATATATCCTATATATATACTTTAACACATTTGGATACATACCTGCAATTAGGTAATTTACTGTTGACATTTTTTTGACTTGCTCCTCTTATTGATTGCAAGTCATCAT